TATTGCATTTGCTGTTAAGTTTGTACTGTTTCCACCTGTTCAAGGCAAACCACAAGTACAAACCACAAGTATGCTCAGCACTGTTATTTTCTCAAGAGAACACAGGTTGTAAACAGAATCATAAGTATTCTTCATAGTTGATGACTAACATACACATTGCTCTGAGCACTTCATATTTAATAACTTTTTTAATCCTTTCAACAGCACATGAGGCAGGCTTTCAAGTTATTCACATGAAGAAAAGTAAGGGGATCCAACTTTATCCAAGGTTGCATCATTGGCTGGCAGGTAGCAAGGACTGATGTTCAACATCAGGCCATCTGGTTCCCAACTTTTTATCTTGTGGAAGCTTTTCATAAGAAGCACATAATAGTCAAAATGAAAAATAGAAAAAGAATAATCTGAGAAAGTACTGGGGAGGAGATAAAAGTTTATTTAGAAAATATGAGTAGCAGACAGACAGGAGACTTTGTATCCCTAACTAACCCTAATGTAATTAACTTGAAAATACTTGCGGGAAACAGGCCAGCCTCACATTCTCCTCTGACTTCAGCATAGTGAAATGAAGCCATTTCCAGATGTGCGGGTTCTGAGTTTACAGTCTTAAAGATCATCTCAAAAACATCTAAGTATATATCCTCAGCATCTAGGACATCTGAATATGTTATTATAAATGTGCTTATTGTGCTTAGGACATACTTACTAATTTTCAATGCCAATGCCTTTCCACTGGCTGAAATATTTTCAGAATAGTGTTTTCTAAAAACAGGACTATAGTCAAACTAATGTACCATCTTGATTAAATCTTTTGCCAAAATTAAAATATTAGTCATTGAAGAAAAGCACTTGGTACCACTGAGAAGAAGAAAGGTACACTAACTCAGTGGTGTTCAAGAATAGTAGGCTATTCATTGCTGTTGGGTAAATACACAGGCATCGACTCTAGTAGGTTAGATTTCTGATTTAGACATATGAGTTGTAAATAATCAGTGTCTACTCTTTTTATGTCCATAATTGATTAGAATATGCAAACACACCAATAGTGTGTTAGGCTACAGTTACATGTTGCTATGGTATAGTCATCTGTATTTTAAGATCTACTGTTTCTTTTTCAGCGCCTGGCTATGGAAGCAGAGAAAGTTCAAGCTGCACACCAGTGGAGGGAGGATTTTGCAGTAAGGATCTTTTTATAATCACTTCATTTAAGTAGACTGATATTTCGTATTTGGATAGTTTTAGTCACACTGAAATATTTTCCATTATAGCATTTTATGATGTTAGAGGACCCAAGACTGCCAAAATTAATTCTTTGCTTTATTCTTTTTCCTTAATACTTTGAATAATCAGGACCAGTTAACTTAGTTGAAATGTTTGTGCTCATATGTCATATAAAAAAGGAGACAAATCTGTTAAAGTGATCTCCCATTCGCAAAAGTATTTGAAAAAAATTATTAAAACGGCATTGAATAGTATCTGAATAATTTTCCTGGTGATTTTGAAAAACAAGTTTTATTTAATTATTGTCCTTTTTTAAGAAAAGACATTCATTTTGTAAATGTCTGGATGGTGGTATGATTGAAGTAAGCATGCATATATTAAGCATAAAGATTTACATTACTTTACATTGCCCAGAGTGTTCCTCCTTTTACTCTGGACTCCTAGCCATGTCAACTGCCATTAGTTTTCACTGTTTTGCTTTTTTCTTTTGATAAGCTTGCTTTTTTTCATAAAGGGTACTGGATTAATTATATGTAGCAGACATCATCTTGTAATGGTATTGGTCCTTTTATTACCTGTCACCCCCTCTTATAGCCAGTGAAAAAGGCTATGCTTTTTAACTGTCACATAGTCAATGTACATATTTATAATGGAGACGTCTTCAGTTTCTAATCACTGGAAACTTTCAGACCACTCATTTTGGGACTGTAACCTTCCTCTAACCCCCACTTCCTATTTATAAAGGACTAGAGTGTGAGTGACGGCTTGATTGTACTTTCTAGTATCTTATTTTAAAAAGTGTTGAACGTAATGTTCAGAAAGTTTTGCTTCAATAGCTTTAGGAAGTAAAACTTCTACTTTGTTTTGTGTTTTATATAAAGGAAATAGACTAAATAATATGATCATCTTTTATAAACTTAAATCTTCCATGTTGATGCTTCTGATCCCATTTAATCTACCAACTTATATTAAATAATTAATTAGAAATGATCCTACTGTCATTTTATTTGATTTTTCTCAGTGAATTGATCAAGATGTTGGTCTTAGGTAGATATTGTATTGACTTACCATTGTTTGTTACATAGGTTTATAAAGGGCAATTTGTCAATTAAAATATATGAAAGGAAGTGATGAACAAGTAAAAATCATAAGCACCTTGAACACTAGCTAACTGTGAGCTGTTGGGGTGAAGGGTTTTGGCTTGGAGTTAGCCACTTTTTGATAAAAGAATGATTTTAAAATTTAGTTCCTCAAATACAACAGAAAACAGTCTACCCAAACACATAACCTAACTAAGTAATAATGAATGACTTTTCTTCCCCACTTTACCTCATGTAGAGATGGCCTGTGAAGTGTAATAAAGCTACAGCTGTATCTGTTCTGTGTTCTGTGTGGTATTGTTATAATACAATTGCTTCTGATTTAGTTTGAATCTTCAGTAATTAGGAGAACTCAAATGATCTTTAAAGTCTCACAGAGTCTACCTATGTAATGCATAAATTATACCCTTCTGTTCAAAAAGTTCTTGTTTTCATTAAAGTCATTTGGTATGTTAGGTAGTATTGCAAAAAGGAACACCTTGGAAGTAGGTTTGTACTAATGCCATCTTTCCAATGCTTTTCTGTTTAGATATTATCACTTTCTAGGCAAAAGGTTTCATTTCTCAGATGTACTGCAAACTTTGAACACTGGACTCATTAAAATTGAATCATCATTTTAGCACTGGCTTTTTTTCTCTCTTTAAAGAAGTGATAGGTGACCAGACTTAAAACACAACACTTGATGGGTGTTAGCTTTTGCACATTTTTTTAATCTACACCATCATCAATTGAAGACCCTCTAGCATTGTATTTATTTCACTCATTTCTTACAAAAGAAGCTAATTAAGTGGTGATAAACTTATAGTTTTAATCTGTGCTATTATTTGTGAGATGCCAAAAGGTTTTACCTATAATCGTAATTCCTATTATATGTCATTAATGTCTATGTCTACACAGGAGCACTGTTAGAAAATTTCATGCAAGATGGGTCCACAGTGACACAAAAGCCATTACTAAGTATTATATGGATAGAAATGAAATTATTTACTCACGCACTAAACATTCCTATCAAATAGTGGTCACTGTGTGAGAGAATTCTTGAACAACTTTTGTTCTTAAATTTCCAATAGGTTACTCGCAGAGAAGTTGGGACCCGTTTAACATATTAATTAATCCAAAAAAGACTGTTAAAAGGAAAAGAAGTTAGAGGCTGGTTAATTATTTTTTCCCGACTACTCTTCCATAGAGCTGTCCATGCAGTTCATAAGACTTGAATCTGTCAGTTTGCTCACTTGAGAGTTTATGTTCTTCCAAATCTTTCCATATCCACCAAATGTGTACAGTAACTCTTCCTTTCAAATTGGATGAGGTGATAGAATACTGAGATCATGAGGATGTTTATGCCCAGTGAATAGAACTTGTGAAAAACTTGCCTAATTTTAAAGATTCAAATAATGAAAAAAGTAGTAAACTGAGACACACTCTCCCCATCTTTTTCTCTGAAAGTAGATAGCACTTTAGTTCACAGACGTATCAAGTTAAATCGATAATTTGGGGGCAAAATAAAATTCAAATTGGTGCTTGAAAATTAAACATAACATTAAATCTCTATTTCAAAAAAGAACCTAGAATATTTTCAAATTTTGTCCATCTTTTAAGCAAACAATTTTAGATGTTTAATCTGAAGTCAAATACTACATTTCAAAAGGTCCTTCGTTTAAAGTTTATAATTGTTTTATCTTTTAAGATATTTAACTGTTTGTACCAGCGCAATAGTTCTTTAATGCTGTCTTTTAATAATTTAACACTGAGATGATTTAGAAGGCAGAAATAGTTTCCTAAAAGGTGCATTAACATTTCAAAAAGAAATATAATATTCTGCTTCTTCCCTCAAGCATAAGTTGGCAAGTTTCATTAATATTACTCAGGCAAAAGTTGATTAACATTCCCTACTGTGTAATGTAGGGAAAAAAAATCTCATAAACAGTGAGAACAAAAGGCAAAGCACTAATATGCTGGCAGCGTGAAGCAGCTCCTGTAATTCACACTCTCCCTCAGCTCCTTTTCATTCCCAAAGGAATATACAAGGAAGGGAACAACTGGCTGGTTAGTTCTGTTGATTAGAGCTTGGTGGTAACAACAAAGGAAGGAACAAAGGCATATACTCTAAAAGGATTAAGATTTATTTGGTCATGCATTTACAAGTTCAAACCAATATTTGTAAATAAGCTATGTCTACCAGCTGCTTTTCAGGTCCCCAGGCAACTTATGGGTATTAAAGGAACATATCATGTCACTTAAGATGGACAAATTATTTTATTAAGGGCAGGTAGGCAGAAGAAGAAAAGGAGCTTGGAAAACTAACTGTTCTGCCTGAAATAATTGCCTTTATTTCCACCAAACAGATCTTTTCCAATTGCATCTGAAATCTCATTTGATTGTGTTGCAATGGCTGGTTAACTAAAGCAATTTCGTTTCCAACTAAGCCTGCAATATTAATTGTACTTACACATGTATAAACATAAGGGATGCCTAATTTGTATTTTAATAACTAGGATCTTTATGTATGGCTTATTAGCGCCAGCTTGTTACTGTGTAGGCTGAGTGGAGATGTCTACAAATTGGCCAGTAAATAAAAAATTTGAAGAACCTCTTTAGCTTCAGCTTCATGGGGAAAATAAATTAGAAGAGAAAATTTTTTCTAGTGAAGTTGAATGTTATTGAGTATCAATCAGGCTAGTTTAATACTTCAGTACAGTTTTAATTCTGTAATTGTCAAAATAATATTGCCAAATTATACATTAAAATGTTCTTTTAACATTCTAATGTTCAAAATTTTGTGTTTTGCAAGTAAAATTAATTAGGCACACACATTAGGTATTGTTTCATAGTTCTTTATTTGATGAATTGATGAAATTGCATCATTCTTGTTACTTATAATAGAAACAGTGTATTCAATGAGAAAACATACTTATTTTGGCTTTAACATATAAAGAAAAGCAGTATTCTACCTTACACCCTCGATAAGAATGGATTAATTTTGAGGGGTAAAAACTGGGGGATGGATGAGGTTCAAGAGATGATTAAGACGTTAAGAGTACTAACTGCTCTCATAGAGGACAAGGGTTCAATTTCCAGCACCAACATGTTGTCTTACAATTCCAGTTTCAGGAGATCAGATACCCTCTTCTGACCTGTTCAGGCATTGCACTATACAGGCGCACTTATACACATGCAGGCAATACACTCATATACATAAAATAAAAATAACAATAAAAAATTGGGGGATAGCATGATGCCTTCATAAAGGAATAAATGAATTTGATGGATTATTAAAATAATTTCAGGCTCTGATTTGATTTGGCTCTTCTTAGTTTCTAATTCTGGATAATTCACTTGCATATTTTAATGTTTTGCCACAATTTTTTAACTGCTTCTTTGATATCTCTTAAAAAATCTATCCTTATCATGAAAATAGTTTAAATGGAGCTATACTGCAAAATTGATGTACACTATCATCAAAAATGGAAACCAATTCAGTGGAAGTCAGGCTAACTTCATTGCCTTTATCTAAACTTAAGTGCCCAGGATGAAAGTATAACATTGACAGAGTTTAAATTGTGATAGAATATATCTTTTCATTTATTATACTGAAAAGACAAAGCAATGCGTTTAAACTTGGCTCCAAACATTACTTTGACTCTTAATAATATTTAGTATTACCTGGTTACCACTTTGACTTCACTTTCTATTTTTCATTTAAAGCCCAAGTTAAAATAGTGCATGCAGGGTAGTGGAAATCCCTCATCAAGGCACTGTAATGAGATGCCTTATGGAAAGGAAGATTTAGATAATTTAAAAGGCTGTGTAAGAGTCTTCCTTTCTTTTCCTGCCCACTCAGCAAGGAGAGATGATAG